ATCAGCATTGCATACTTTCTGTGTCTCAGTCGGGACTTGAATCACGAGCCATCCAGCCGGGGGCCCAAACCCTCGACCACTGAGCTAGACAATCAACGATCAAGATTCTAATTGAACAACTAGAATTATTTAGAATGTACAGTGCAAGTGTTTGTGAAAATTAAATGATCTACTTCAAACACAACATTCGAAATTCACTCATTTTTTCCATGGAATTCAGATTTCACTCGTGGCGAATCCCTCGCATCTTAAGCAACTGTTTGATTGTCGATTACAACATTGCGAAGATATTCAGAGGAAAAACAATAAAATGAAATGGAAGAAGGACTGTCATGAACGCTTCGCTACTTACAGAATAAATGTGAGGTTCATTGTTTACTTTATTTGTGATATTACTTTCAAATTTAAATTCAATGGGTTTAAAAATCAATCAGAAGAAAGAGATGGCCGCACACTTATTTGTTGATAATCATGCACTTTAGGTTGGCAACTCATTGTCTCTTATCCCCTGTGGTTAAACCCCAACTCCAATGTTCGACTTTATTGGTAATTTGGTTTCCCTAATATAGTTTATTTGGTCGTGTCCGTCTTCCGGAATCTTGAATGTAAATTTGTTCTGTATGAAATAAATGAATGTTTGAAGTTTATTTGTTTATTCAGAACAATGATTTGTGGATATCTTGTCGCTTTGTATTCATGCAATCCAAAATGAGGTTGAGTAATGAGAGGAAACCCAGTTGGGGGACAAAATAACTGGATTTCTTCCCAACTGCCAAAGACAAGATCGCGTTTAGCTTTCATTATCGAACATCAAACCCACAGATTCATTCGCGTTTTCACTTTCATGGTCACCAAGTCTGTAGCTACACACAAGCAAATGGAAATATACACCCATGTTCATGTCAGAAAACGCACACATGCAGTACATAATGCGACTGAACTGTTCAGTTTATTTGCCCGATTGATACGATCATTGCTTCGTTGGCCTTGGCAAAGCAGTCAATCATGCCTTACGCAACAGGTGTTTGTTGTCTGACAGTGAGCTTCATAAGTTTTGATCAACGAATAATGATAAGACAGGTAGGCAAACAGACCGGTAGGTGGGTAGACGGACAGATAGACAAACATACACACACAAACTAGTTTACAAAACCATGGGCATCTGGTGGTAAGACGGAACCTTTCTCAGCCGAATGTCGGGTCAGTCAATCAGCACGAGGTGTTACCGGGATCCGGAGTGAATCCAAGTTAATAGAAACCCCAATGGGTTTGAAATAACGAAGTGTTTGCCTACTGACCTCTCATTTTCATGTTTGGCAAAAGTCAGCAGTGTTAATAATGAACTTTTAGTGTTGACCTCCTTTTGTTGACTGCGCTCAGGATTGATAAGTCGGATTTGACAAATTGTTTTGAAGTTTTTCAAACGTAAAAGTTAAAATTTTAAATAAAAGGGTTCCCTATTTTCGACGAATCTTTTGACTGAAAATCGCACGATGCTAACATCGTTTATCGATGATGCATGATTCAATAGCTTACCACCATCCTGCAGAAGCTCTGACACTAAACGGCATTTCATTTCGCCTCTCTCAGTCCAGCTGATTGATAAAAAATGATCAGATGCAACTTGATCGCTTTAAATTAAGCATAACGCATCCTGCGCATCCCGACTTAAAGAAGCTCGGTAAGTGTCTTTTTCTAAAATATACCATTGTTTGTGATACAGTCAAATCAGAATGGTGGCTGTCCCGTTTTCCATTGTTGTTCCATTGGAGCACAAGTTCTACTCTGTACAGGTATAGCACGAAACAAACTTCGTTTTGAAAAAACGATAGTCACAATCTTCTGAGACGGTGCACAAATATGATCGTAATTCTAATTTGATCTCCTATTTACCCCAGATAAAACCATGTGTTTTCTAGTTTCACTGAATTTTCTAAGCAGATAAAACCTTTTTACTCAAGGGTATATATTCATCAAACTGTTATAAAAGGATGTTCTGCGAGAGGAACGTTCAGTTCAGAACGGTTTCCCGTGGTTAGAGAAATTTCCTTGTCTCCCGATAGCTTACTGTTTAGAGAAAAGTTTAACTGAGCTCCATTTTACGGTCGAAAATCGAAATGAATTGCTGAATGTATACACTCACGGAGTAAGATAGATGCAAAACTGTATCTGTGTTGCATTCTTTGTGCGTGTGCTAGTAGATGAGAAATCAAATTCTGGACAAATAAACCACGAAACGGAGAATTTAAACAATGCAGATCATTGTCTTATGCTCAGGCACGTTTGGATGAAGATATTTTAGAACAATAGGGATATTTCTCATTTAGTTCTGGCAACACGGTTTGAATTGCGCGTATTTTAACGGTGAGTTATTTTGATTGTTGTACCCATGATACCAAATGGTTCATGAACTGCTGTTTGAATATCCGCATGCAAATCGAATAGGCACCGGTGACAACGGCGGTTTGATCTACTTTTCACCGTAACCAAACCTGGAGAGCAGGATGTTCGTTTCTTTTCTCACCTGATGCATGATACAATCTCTCATACAGTCTACTTTAATAATCCTCTTTAATTGTAGACAGTTTTGTTTATTTATTTTTGCTATGGGTTCATTTTACGTTATACCCTGGCCGATCCTCCTCACATATGTTTGATTTTAATCAAATCACAAAGCTACCCTAACTTGCGACAAGCTTCTAGATTTTTATGATCTATGAACCGTTTCCGATTCGTGATTTAATTAACAGCTGTTTGATTTCGATCGTAGTCCACATATTGGCTTTCCTGATACTTCACCATCTGGTGCCTTGGGGGAAAAATATACCTGTAGGTAGTAGGCTGAATGCCAACTAAGCAGTGGTTGTATTGCACTATTTTTTCACGTCACATCAAATGCCTCAGTTACGTCCCACAAAAAACCGACCCACTTTGACAAAACGCGTCTGGCTCGACTGATCGAGCTCCACCCCCTAAATCGGCGTACAGCAAAATACACTGAATCGAACTTGATTGGTTGCTGTGAAGCTGACAATCTATAAAAAATAAGTGTGCCTGAGTGAGGTAGAAAGTTAGATAAAAAGAGAGTGAACTTCCCTTATTAACACAGAGTGTGGAGAAATGTCCACGCAGAAGGTACTATTGTCGGTTCGCTGCCCCATACGGTTCTCTTATCTGTTACGGAGTGTTTCAGAATTATGGTAACCTATTAGGGTTGACCAACTCACACAGTTCCGATCGAATGAAGGCCCTTGGCAATCTAAGCAGTCCTTACAAAATCAGTAGTGGTATTCGTCACGAGTCTCCCATCGTGCTTTCTACCCAGTTTAACTAGTGGTGATCTAAACCTGAAGCTGGAGGAAAGCCATAGGATTTGAGATACTGTGATGTATGGCACACGCTTTGAACACTTTCAGCATATCCTGTGGCTCCTTTTGCTGAGCTTTTTTCACTCTCAAACTGCAAAAGGATGCATCCAGTTTCGAACTGAGCTATCTCCTAATTGAGCTTCCTTATGAAGAATCAAGTGCGGTCTATTGTTTTTCTGTCCCAGCATCAAAAAGAAGACCGACGGCAACACAATGAAAGGATAGTCTATACGCAAATCCAAGGCTCAAGTGGTATACAGTCATCTGCAGAAGTTTGAAATGCTTAAAGGAATTTGCATACATAGTCAGATTGTGTACTCAGTGCTGACGAGGGCGGTTTACTTATTTTCCAGTTTCCCTCAAAGTAGATACACTCCCTCTTCAGTCTATATATTCACATTAATTTTGTACACAAATTGGGCTTGAGAGCGATTAGAGTAGTTTGCTGCACTGTTTTTAAAACGGTTAACAACACTAGTAATACTTTATTGGGGTTAAACGATCGCAATGCGTTGGATAACCTATTGATCAATATATTTTCCCATCCTATGTTTATAGTTCCCTTAAAATTTATGCCAACTATCTGCGTTTTATCTCCTCAGAGTTAGTTCCTTATCACCCTTGCTGCTCCCAGTCAGCATAGCCATCAACATTTATGGTGCCTGACGAGAATGAGTTGTATTGTCTTCCAACTTTACTCTTGTGAATCTAGCTTGATACGGTTGACCCCATATTCCTCAAGGTACAAATTGAAATTTTGGTTCTTGTATATCGCAAAGGGTGCTTATTCAACCTGGGCGGTGGTGGCCAAGTGGTTAGGTCACCAAGTTATGACCTGGGAGTCCCGGGTTCGAACCGCTCAATCGCCACCCGCCTTCCCAGACAGCCTTTGTATAGCCGCAGCTCACCTTCCTGAACGTTGACCCTGCATTTATATGTTTAATAAATAAAAAGGAAGTTAAAAGTCATTTACATTTTGCTGATCCAATGTTAACGGTACCTAGATCAACCGTCTTCCTATTCCAGAGCAACTGTACTATTCAGCAGAGTGCAATTCTAATTAAATCTGTTCTGAGTTTCGAAAGAGCATGCAGTATATTCATAATTTGAAGATGCGCTAATACGGATTGTTAAAATCTTGGGTCATGCCTGTGCAAACTAAATAACAATCTATGTGCAACATTCCACGTCTGGTGCAAACTTTCTACAGCTGCTGTTTCTCAAAATAGAATCGACTGCATTTCCAACTGGGACGGGACTAGCTAACTTAGAAACCCCCAACGATTTAACTGTGGGGAATATGCTTATTTTTCTATCTCAAAATATCGGGTGCAATTTTACCGTAGTAATACAATCTATTAACCTTTTCAATATCCAGTTACTAACGGAATATACTAACATTATGAAAACAGAAAAGGCCCTAGATCGCAACAGTGTTTACAAAAATTAATAGGTTTTTCCTGTGGATTTCGCAGGTATTCGGTTTTAACGGACAGAGAGTATTGTTATTATCATACCTTAAGTACGGCTAAACAAAATTATCAGAGTATTAGTTGATTAGAAATTGTGCAAACAAAATTTTAGCTTTATCTGCAGTTCTACTAAAGAAAGGAAGCAAAAATGTAACCAAAATCACCCAGTTACATCATCACCATCATCATCATCATCATCATCATCATCATCATCATCATCATCATCATCATTATCATCATCGTCATCATCATCATCATCATCATCATCATCATCATCATCATCATCATCATTATCATCATCAGCTGCTGCTGCTGCTACTGCTGCTGCCAATATTTTTCCAAAAGCGTTTGCATCATACTTATAAGTGAAGGTAATTTTCACAATCAAGGGATGTTTTACAGATCTATTAGTGCACTGGACCCCCTCTGACTGTGGTTAGATAGATCAGTGCGGTTTGAACACAAGGAAAATTCATTAAGATATTTACGTTTTACAACAACCACTTGCAAACACATCCACACACGCAAACACACACACATACACATAAGGGGGGGGGAGGGCTTCGTGTGAGACAGCTACCGATGCTAACCGGGTTGGTCGTCCGATAACCGTACCCGCGTACTTCTCCAGACCACTCTGGACTGAATCACGGATTCACCATTCTCTTGTCATTCAGTTCAAAGAAATTAGGACCTGTGGGTAATTTTTAAATAAACATACTGCCAGTAAATCACCAATCGCGCGAATAGAGTCAAAGAGTAACCAGTTGGGTGGAATTTTTTATTGTCTTGTTAACAACTGGATTGTATCGCGTTAGACCGAAGTTCCTTTTTGACTAAGTCATTAGGGGCAAGTCAATCAAGCTGTTTTCATGATCAGGATATTTAAGGTTTGAGTAATTCGGATTCAATAAAAACCATTTCGAATTGTCTTTATAAATGGATAGGTGATGATGATGAAAACAGTGACGATGATACTGACGATGATAGTGATTTTCTAAAACAGGACCTCTAGGGTTTATGGTTGCAGAAAATGTTCACATATGAATAAAGTGTACTGCATAATGAACATTTTCTGGGTAAATTGGTATTAGTTCACTAACAGAAACCCAAAACTCATTTTGATTGCAGTTTACAAATTGTCGTTAGGAAAGAAAACCCATTAAAACTGATTTTAGTGATTGGTGTTGAATTATTTCAGTACCGGTAAAAGGAAACTCAAACGAAGCACTTCTCCAAACTACGCAGAAACTTTAGACCAGTAAACATGAACAGCTCTTATAGTTTTAATGGGTTCTGTGTGCATCTGGAAATATTTGGAGAAACTGGAGTGATATGATTCTATGAAAATATGTTTTGAATGCTCTTCTACGTTCATCTCGAAGATAATGTCTAGCAGTTGAAGACGCTACCTTAATGGACATGTGTACGCGTGCACGCCCTTGCATATACACAATTAGACTACCCTGTGAACGGATTCCAGGAGACTTAAACAAACCGAATAAACGAATGTGGCATATGACTGTTTATCAAGTTCATCTATCTGATGCAAATTCGACTCCCTTCATTACCATCACGTCTCCCGTGGCTAGATTCATGCACACAGTCGTCCGGAAGCGCCAGCTACCGAGGACAAGATGGACGACAGACTAAACCAGGCTGTGAAATGACCGATAGCGGGCGAGGCCAGGTCGTTTGAAATTAGATTGACGGCTCGAAAGTAAACCGGTGTTCGTATTATGCTCCTTTTTCTACTTCCTCCCTCTTTTCAACGCTCCGGTTGAAGCATGCATCTTGGAAGAACTAGGTGAATGCGAGTCTTGAAGACCAGAGACTCACACACCGTGGCCTTGACAGGAAAGCACACGTGATAACAGCCATGCCAACCCGAATACATATACATGCAAGCGAATAAACGTTCAGTTAAGCAAGGTACAACAC